GTTTTCCCTTCAAAATCGCCTCAAGGTCGAGCTCAAATGGAGAGTTTATGAAAAATGGAAGAAATCACATTTTTGGACGGTTTTAAATCACTGGCGTCAGGCCTTCTTCGCATTCGCGAAGTGCCTGGCACGATCGCAAAAGGCAGCGGCCAGAATGGCCTTCGCGTGAGGTGCTCCGTGTTGGCGATGGTTCATCCCCCCTGACCATCGCGTTCGCGTCTCCTGGTCTGCGTTTGCATAGCACCAACCCAGTACCCTCCCCCACCAGGCCTAAAGCCTTACGTGTTCGCGTAGGTATGGGCGTGTGCGCGAAGGGCAGCCCCCCCTCCCCCCACTGCTCCGCGTTCGCGTCCATCCCCTCGCGTTCGCGTTGAACAAATCCACCCCAGTCTCAGATTCCCCTTCGCGATTGCGAGAAAGGCTTTGCGATCGCGAAGCATAACACACCAGATGACAACTGAAGCTCAAAACTAGATTGTTCTAAGTCTGAAACATCCATAGCCTATCCGAAACTCACACGAGCCCTCGTGGCTCCCAACCAAAAATACACATAGGTCCAAAAAAATTATACGAACTTGCTCGCGCAATCAAAATACCAAAATAATACCTAGAACTATGAATCTGACACCAAACCAAAATCCAGACCCGGCATCAACAAAGTCAGACATCAATCTAATTTATAAATTCTTTAAACATTTAAACTTCAAATTTTTAACAAATAGCGATAACTGAAACTAGGGACCTCCGAATTCGATTCCAGGCATACGCCCAAGTTTCAAATTACGATACGGATTCATCGGGACTGTCAAAATACGAATATTTATCCGTTTGCTCAAAACATTGACCGAAATTAACTCAAATAGATTTTTAAGGCACAAATTCATATTTTAACCAATTTTTCATATAGAAGCTTTCTGGAAAAAGGCACGGTCTGGGCACGTAAACCGATGAAGGCTAAAAGGAGTTATTTGAGGTTTCGAAACACAGAATTAAGGGTTTAAACTCTAGATGACCTATCGGGTCATCACAACTTGGAGCAGTGGTTACACAATTTTGGCTTCCAATCATAACTCACTTCCAGCTCAATCAATTTTCCTTTTTCATTCCTGAATATCGCCATATTAGGCAATTGTAATCTCATCTCCATTTTCACCAATAGACTCGCAAACTTCAAACCATTCTTTTTTTCAGTGTTGTGATCCACTATTAGAGGCTTCCCAACTAAACTCCCAATTTTGCTTAAGCCTTTTGGACTTCAATATTTAAAGTCTAGCCTTGAGAATTTGATCCAAATTGGAACAGTTAGCAGCTCTTCTCTGGTGAATTCTTGGTCATGTGACCATTCCTTCACAGTAAAAGATTTGTTATCAAAGTGGTAGATACCAACTTGAATGACCTCTTGTTTCCCAATTACTATTTCGAATCTCACCACTATTACTCCATTTTTAGCATAGCAATCCTGTCAATTTCATGTTTGCCCCAAAGTTGTTGAACAAAGCCCTGAATTGCTGCAAAGGGAGGGTGTGCCCCTAGAACGTAGCATACCACAATATTATCCCAATAAGCAATTTAAGTACTTATATCCTCCAATTCAATCTAAAAAATGAGTTCTCACCAATTGATTTGGGAGGAACATATTCTAATTTGTATCATGCATTTGATATTTTTGTTATATCAAATTCATCCCAAATGGAGCTCTTTTTCTTCTGTGATTCAAGCTTATCTTCGACCTCATATGGCCATGATTTCTTATCGCTGCTTCCTGATTCAGTTTGCATTAGACTGGGCGAAGCCAGTACTACTTCATTCCAACGTCTCGATGCTTCAATTTGCTGGGCCTTCTCTGGTTCCTTGTTCGTCGTTACTGTTTCATTGAATTTTGAATTTGCTAGTGCAGCTCCCACTGCTTTCTTACTATCATCATTTTGCCCTCGGTGAGCTTGCGAGGAGGATGTTTCCTTTGCCATGAGAGCCTTCTGGGTTGGGATGCGTACTCTCTTACCACCCATGGTGGGCCAGGTTAAGCTATCATGCACCGAGAAAGAGCGCAAGCCCTAATTTCAATATTTGGAAGTTTTCTTTCTTTTTTTTTCAATTAAAATTTGTTTCATAGATAAGACAAACTTATACAGAATGGTGAGATACATATACAACGTATAAAATCATTTTACTTTTTTATTTAAGTCATCCTTTATGATAAAATTTAGTCTATAATGTTTGAGTAAGCATCTAGACATAACATCGGGAATGCACAAAATAACACTTAGTATTAATGGAACCACCCAATTGAGCTCTAATACAGAATTTCAAGAATGTTGACAACTAACAACCTAACAATGAATTATTGTCCTTGCTATAGTTTAGAGACACCCCCACTTCAACTGGCCAAAAAAATTCAATTCTCAGTTCCCCCATTACTTCTTGATTTTAAAACCATCTAACATTCCTTTGTTATTTATGTCATCAAAGACCAACAAAACACATTAACCTCATGCTAGAATTTGCCACCTACTTCTCGTCTAATATGCCCAATCAATATATAAGGAACTAGCAGAGTAGCATGGCGAAGTGGCCCAAGACTCCACCTAGTATCGAAAAAAATTGGAAAATGTTACTTTTAGCTCATGATAGAAACTATTTTTATTTGGTAGTCGCAAAAGTGTATAAAATTTATTATTTTTTGTATATAGCAAATATATATATATATATATATATATATATATATATATATACAACAAAAAAATATACTACCTTTTTTCGGCAATTATTTGTGAGCGGCTATTCTCACAAACCATCTTTAACACCAATCATATTATTTTGATATCGTTAAATTATAAATTAAAGCGAGAATAGAGATTACTTAACCATGGCAAAGTGAAAAAAGTGTGCATCAGTGACCAGACTATATAAGTGGATAAAATGTTTTCCGAGAGAAGAGTGTATAATAGCTCTCTCAACTTCCAAAAGCCAAAGACTCTCCTTTAGATAACGCCTTTCAACGACCTTTGGTTCTTGATATCCTTTGGTTGGCAAAGTAACCAAAAAAATGTGTACTTCCTATCAAGAAAATACTGGACCAAAGTGTACTTCCTATCAAGAAAATACTGACCCATCATACCACCTCCTATTTCGGTTAAATTTAATAAATATTGCTCTTCGCTTGCCTTATGGGTAACACTTTTAATTTTTGACCTTGAAGTTCTACCCATAGAACAAGCGGATGTCAAAAATTAAAGACCACCTCCAACAGTATCATATTTATGCAATTGTTTGAGCCTCAAGAGCCCACCACCCAACAGAAATGTCAAAAGCACAAGATTAGAGGATTTTAACATTAAACACCTTTTTGTCCAACTAAAACATTGATGATGGTGTTGGAGATTTTGGCACACGTCATTAGCACACCAGAGTACAGTCCAGCAGGAACTAGTTCATTGTATTAAGAGCTTAAAAAACATAAAATTAAAAGATAAAGTGATAGGTCTGGCCTCATTTGGAAACAAAGAATTTGGCATTTGTAACTTTCAATCACAGCCATTACTTTAGGTAGTTGCTAGAACAGTCAGCTACTAGAGCGGATCCAATAGATAATATACAAATTGCAAACACTAGAAAAAAGAAGAGACAAAAACGAAGAAATTTCATACCATGCGTATCAGTAATATCATAGTTAGAAAAAGAGATGGAAAAGAGATAATAAAAACACACTCGTTTTCGAGCCCTTCCTTCGCAACAAAGGTACTAAATTTCCTTGAAGATATAGCACGTCTCTCTGTCTCAAAAACTCTCTTAAACATAGGATAAGTATATGTAACTTTTCTTAATTATAATTAATATTACCTAGATAAGAAGTTTTTAATTGCTCAATATTTATTCTTAGAGTTAACCTAGTTAATTTAGTGTAAATATTGGGCGCGAGCAATTTTTTTTCTGCGACAAACTATTATGACCATTTGATATCTGCATCATCAACTATGAGGAGTTATTTCAGTAATGCGCTATTAGTTTATGATCTAGAGTTTTTATTTAATTATTTAACCATCCTGTATTAGGAACCCACTGTCCCAACTAATTCAGATGCGCACGGTGTATGGCTCATTAAAAAGAAAAAACGCTCCTTACAAGAAAAATTTTTCATTCCAAGAGCCTGAACCTAAAACTTCAGTAATGTGCTCTAGTAGATGACTGCAATCAACAACCTTATCACTAATATCATAGTTCAAAAATAGATGGATAAGAGAAAATAAAAACTCTCTCGTTTTCGAGCCCTTCCGTCGCATCAAACGGATAAGTATATATAACTTTCTTAATTGATTAATACTACGTGTAAAATAAGGTTTTAGTTGCTCGATATTTATTCTTAGAGTTAAATTAACTAGTGCAAATGTTGAGTGCGGGTAATGTGCTAGTATTAGTTTATGAACCAGAGTGTGTGTTTTTGTTTAACTAGCCGGTATCCGGAAATCATTGTCCCGACTAATTCAACCCACTAAAGGGGAAAACGCTCCATAGTCCATCCCACCACATCTTTTGATGGTCCGAGTTTTCTAGTACTAAATTATGAAATATTGCAATCTAGTTGTGGTCTGACGACGACGAAATTGACCTTTCTCTAGGTGAAGGAAATGATTTTGGTTCTATATCCAGGGACTCTATAACATAACCACTTTTGGTTCTTGATATCCTTTGATTTAGACAATGGATTTTCACACCAACGAACATTCCATTTTTGCAGTTAAGGCAATAACACAATGATACTGGTGTTCGAGATTTTAGCACACTTCACTAATACCCGAAACTCTCAGTCCATTTGGAATTAGTTGATTGCACAAAGAGCAAAAGTACATAAAATCAGAAGCACATATCATAAGCCTGCCACCATTTGGAATCAATCTGCATTCCTAACTTCCAATCCCAACCATAACAACTTTAGGTTGAAACATACTCAGCCAAGAAAGCATCCAACAGATAATATACAATACCTATGAATAGAAGAAGAATAGACAAAACAAAAGAGTTTTATTTCAACACTCTCTCTTCCAAATTCCATATCATACTCATCACTAATATCATAGTTCGAAAAAAAGATGGATAATAGGGAGTAAAATCACACGCGTTTTCAAGCCCTTTCATCGGCAACATACACTCAAAGACTACGCAGATTGAGAACGAAGCCCTTTGGACGGCTCTAAGAGCACGGGAAAATCCAAAGGCACTCACAATTTCAATGAAGACAAAGCACATCCCTCTGACTCAAAAACCTCTCTTGAACAAACAAATAAATAGAACTCGCTAAGGGAAAATCACGGTCTCAAGCATCTATTTAACTGATTCTTGAGACATACAACTCAATTGATACTTAACACATGTAATACTAATACTATATCCAAATATAACTCGTCTAGCTGCAAAATTATGGGCATGCAATATTGAGGGGTGTTCCATTCATCCGCGGAGCATCATCCATCAAACCAAAGGACTCATCATAGCCATCAAAATCAAAGTCAAAATCAAAATCAGGCAAACCAGTAGGCAACTGGTCATCACCCTCGATCACACAAACCGCAGGGTCCTCAAAATCATCGATAACAAACTCATCCAAATGCTGACTGAAATCATCAGCACCGACAAGGAATGACTCGAGCTCCAACTCAAGGTCCATAGTTTCACCAATTTGAGCCAAAGATAGAGTTTCCTCAATTAATGCCAACTCAGGCACTTCTTGTTCAACAACATTAGCCTCCAAAGCAACATCACTTGCCTTTTCATTAACATTATGTCCTGAAATTGGAGCAGAAGCAGAGGCAGAAGTAAAAGAGTACAATTCAAGAACTGATGGCAAGGAGTGCGAAGTATGTGACGCTGAGCTTTCTGCAGAGTCCTCTGAGACACTAGCAACATTAGTATTGGTTTGATTTTGGTCATCAGAACTCTTCTCAGACACATTTGTACTATTCTTAGTCATACTCTCGAATTCAAGGCGTTTCAATTCGTAAGCTCGAGAGGCCTCCTCAGCAGTACTATAAGTACCCAACCAGACCCGTCTTCCTTTGAAGGGATCGCGAATTTCAGCAGCCCATTTGCCCCATTTTCGTTGACGAACACCTTTATATTTCGATAAACCCTGCCTTGGTTGAATCAGGGGTTTAGCTAAAGCCTTGCTTTTTGGTTTTTGCTCTCCATTGTTGCTATCTTGAAAAGAACATTCTGTTTCAGAAGCTTTTGGAGGAGTGAAAGAGTTGCCAATCTGCAACTTAATCTCCCGAACGAAACGCTTGGATTTGGGATCATTGATCCCCTCATCATCAGATGAATCAGTGGCATCAGGATCATAACAAACAATCCGAATTTTCCTCATTGGTCTCGTATCAGCTTTGTTCTTCATATTTCTTTTCAGATTTTCAAGATCTGATGATGATTGTCTCTCAAGCTCAGACATTCTGAGTTATTTCACTCCAAAATACCTCAATATTCGCCAAAAATTGGCCTTTCTTAAAAAGAAAACTAAACAAAAACTAAAGGAAAACACAAGGAAAAGGATGTAATACACAAAATTTGAAGAGAAATTAGGAAAAATTACGCTGTGTATCAAGTAAGAGGCGGTCTCAAGAGCAAAATAAGATGTAAAAATTGCTTTATGTGAAATCCCCCAAAACACACTTCTCCAAACCAATTCCTGTAAAATAGAAAAAATGAACAAAACCCCACATCAGATCAGCTTCCAGAAAAAACAACCAAAAACACTAAAATTGAAACAGATGTAAATGAACAATGGCTAAAACTTATAGGGGTTTAAGGTAAGTAAGAAAAAGTACCTTTTGGGCCTCAAACCCATGGAAATAATTGGTGAAAATTGCAAGCAGAGAGCAAAGAAGAGTGAAGAAACTGAAAAGCAGAGGTACAATGGAGCCTCAAATTCAATCACAGACAGAGCAGACCTTGCCGACATAAATCTCTCCAAAACCCACTTATTTTCTTTGGGTCTTGTTCGCCAAAAAAGCGAGGAAAAGGGAGAAACTGTAGATAAGATATTCCTATTTATAGATACCAATAAAATAGAGTAGAAAAGAACAGGATTAGGAATCTATGGCCAAGATTTCCTTTTCCAGTATCTGACAAAAAGATCTGCTTAGTTTTTATAATCAGAAATTAAAGCACACTGATATAAAGAATTAGTAAAAAGCTTGATTATTAGTATAACACTATGAATAGGTCATGGGTGGGTGGCTGCGTTTTTCTGGTTTTCTTTTCAGACAAACGCAAATCGCAATATATAAAAAATGAAAAGAGAGAGAAGAAAGGACATTATAGTATCATATGTAACGTCGAAAATCTAAGCCCATGCTTAATTAATTCTTTATATTCCTTCGTATTAAATAAAATTATATTTGTGTACAGTCATACATTTCTATAACAATATCCCCATTAAACAACACTTTACGATAAAAATCAAGTTTTTTTGGAATCAATTTCTATGTTATATTATAATATATATTTTCTATAACAACACTTCGCTATAACATCCAAAAATATTCGGAACAAACGAACCTGTTATATAGAGATTTGACTATATAAGTGGATTTGCATGTATATCTGTATATGCCTTGTTTGGTCTTCTTTCTCTCTCCTTTGCGCACCATTTCTCTCTCTACACAATCTAAGCTTTTCCACTAAAAATAATTTACTATATTAATCATGATTAAGTATAAAAATATAGTAAGCAAAAGACATTTGTTATATATTTATGGATTTAATGAAGACATGAGTGCTGAGTGTTTTTAATTTTGGAGATTCCTACTGGATGTTCATTATTGTAGTTCTCGTAATTATTATCATTTCATCTCTGTAATTTATATTTTATACGGGAGTTGAAAATAAAAATCACGGGTTGTTTACTGAGTACTAGACCTTACTCTACTTATTTAATGGGATTCATGATTTCAAAAATAATAAAATGAGTAACTAAGTTGATTAAGTACTGTTAGCTTGTCTGACGGCGGCGTTAGGCGCCATCACGACCTATAGTGAATTTTGAGTTGTGACACGCCTCTTGAGACTTTCGCCTCACACCATCGCCTCGGGACATTTTTGGTGCGTCTCGCCCCAGGACTCGCCCCAAAAATGCCTTTTAAAATACTGACGCCAATGCATAATGTGGCCATATTTTTAAATTGCTTTTTTACTTTGCATTCATTCCATTCAATGCTCTTACTAAATTAGCTACCAATAACGTGACAAAATTAATATCTCCAATCCATGTCCCAATCAAAACTAAAGATCTAGGAATGGTTTAATGCGTGAAATCATTTACTAGGGGGCTATATTTTGAAAAACAAATGTACTCTGCTTCTGAAGCAGTGAAAGATAGACTTAAATTCTCCTATATTCATTCTTCGTGCATAATGGGCACACTGTGTGATATCATTTTCATATCCTTGTTGGATACTCTATTACTGTCGTAATCCTGTAGTGATATCCAACTAAATTCTTTATAAGCTCATGTAACACAAACCATTTAATACCTCAAATTATCTGCTAAGTTTGCATTCATCCTCGTGACGATCAGGTAAACTTCCTCAACTAATCCAAACTCAAATCGCAACACATATAATACACTAGTAGAAAGAAACTCTCCACACAATATGATAAGGATCACACATCCGTAGATTACCCCGAAGGTGATAACCCACATGCTTAGCCTCAAACTGACATCTTTCTATACCCTTTCACAACCACAACTACTACGCCGTCACTTAATCTTCCTGAGTCTTAACTCACAATAAGACATGAAAAATCTACTTCGCTCTACAATTAAACAACATGAAAGATCCTTCAACACACCCGTAACTCGAGACTATACGTCAAATCAAGACAAAAATCATGCACCCAATAGCCCTCTTTACATCTCAAGAAAACTCTTTTTGTCACATTCAAACCACCTGAACACTTCCCACAGTTACATCTTACTCATCATATAACTATCCAAACACTCATCGAACCACAAATTTCACACATAGAAAAACTTCTGGATACCCAAAAGCACATGCTCACACAACCGAAATCACCTTGCTCAAGCTATAGTCAACACTAGGCCTCAAGTCCTCCGGTTGGCCCATCACCAAAATACATAAAACACATCTCGTGCTTCATCCATGGAATCCTCAAGCCGTCGATGCAGAGCTGATATCGAGCGCTCACAGGCACATACGAATCTGTGGAAGGAATTCAAGGAGTTACGCTTCAACCAGAATCAATAACGCACGATAAGGAAAGAAAGATGGGAAGTTTATCCTAAATGCCCTGTAGCCTTTCGAAAATAGGTATGGGCGTCATCATACCGATCGACAAGACTCTACTAGACACTTGCTCATGACTTGTAGAACCTATGAACCTAGAGCTCTGATACCAACTTGTCACGACCCAAATTCTAACTAGTCGTGATGACACCTAATCCAACCCGCTAGGTAAGCCAATTGACAATAAACCAATTGCAATGCAATTTAATGAGACAAATAAATAAAAGAAAATATCTGAATCTTAGACATTTTCCAAGGAATGGTAGTACAAATCACGAAGTTCTAAGATTTAGAGTTTACAAAGTTAGTATGAAATAAACACATCATCTGTCTGAATGTACATAAACAGATTTTTATAAGTCTAGAGCTACCATGAACAAGAGGCAACTATAACTGGACCGCAGGTACGTCTTCAATGCTAGCTTCCATCATACACAACAACATCAACATCCAAAATCTGCATGCAAGGTGCATAAGTGTAGTATGAGTACAACCGACCCCATGTACTCAATAAGTAACAACCCTAACCTTAGGTTGAAAGTAGTGACGAGCTGGGATAAAGGTCGGAGTCCGACACCAATAACCAGTAACGAGTCATAACAATAAAATGAAAGTAACACAAGTAATAACTCTACGATAAAAATGCTCATCTCGTTCACAGTTCCAGAAAAATAGTCATTTGCTTTTCAAGTATTACAATAAAACTCAAATCTTTTGCTGAAATCACCTAAAATATGAGTAAGTATGAAAAACTGTTTCTCAAAACTTTCTACAATAGATAAGAAATTTCTTTATCAGATGGCATGAAAAAAGCACGTCTCTATGTCTAAAAAGGCACATGTGGATAAATTGTATTTGCCAAAAGTTGCAGGGGGTTTAATTTGAGGCTAATTTATGCAAATGTCCTTTTTAAAATTTATTGTTTTAGATTTCCTTTTTGTTTTTAAGAAGTTGTGCAAATATAACTCTTGAGAAATTACCCTATTCCGGGCAATGTTAGACTCGGGTCTAATATTTATTTATATAATTTTTAATTTGCTCACAAATCATTAGATTGTAATCTAACAGTTGTAATAACTTATAAAATTTTAGACAATGATCTAATATTTTTCTCATTAGATTTTTAGTTTGCTCAAAAATATCTTTAGATTGTGGTCTAAATAGCCCATCAATTACAAAAGAAATAAAAGAAAAAATTACTAAACAATTGATATAAAAAAGAACCACTGACAAAAATATCACTTGGATAAATAACAAAATATCGACAGTCAAAACTGAGTTAGTCTGATTAGGACACTACATTAAAACTAAATTACCCTTTCGGCCACCAAAGTAATACTCCATCCGTTTCAATTTAGATGAGATAGTTTGAATCGACACGGAGTTTAAGAAAAAAAAGACTTTTGAAACTTGTGATCTTAAAAGTTTAAGTGGTAAAAGTTTTATGGGGCCATGATATTTGTGTGGTTGTAAAAACTTCTTATTAAGGGTAAAATGGATAAAATGACGAGTTTAAACGTGAATTATTATAATTGTAAAAATGTGTCATTCTTTTTGGAATGAACTAATAAGAAAAGTGAGTCGTCTAAATTGAAATAGAGGGAATGGCAGTAACTGAGGTCAAGTTGTATTTTTCCAAGTATAAATTGGAACATTGATTTTTTGAATACGCCTTTTTGACGTCGAAGACAATTTGAGAAAATTCACATAAAGCACTAAAATCGTAACTATTTTTCTTATAATAATATTTAAATAATTATTTCGAAAAATTATAGTCAAAAACATTTGTGTGACTTCTAAAGTAATAACTATGTCATTTTGGGGGATAAAGTAGTGAAGTGTTTGTGCATTAATCATTTATCAAATTGGGGGTATCCAGACAAGAATTATGAGAAATCATTCAATTAATTATGTTCAATAAGCCACCATAGCATATCATAACAATAGCGAAGTAATTGACGGAGATTGCATCTGTCAAAGTTATCCCAGACTCGAGTTATATTCGAATATAAAGTAAAATAAACGTTGAAGTAAATATAACAGTCAAATAACAAGAGTACTTGAACGAAAACTATCTAAATGTTTTAATTGGTAGGTATTACTATAGTTAAATTTAAGATTTTGGCAGAAATTATGATAAATGAGATTTTTGTTATATTTTTACAACAAAAATACCGACATGACTCTTTAAGGATATCTAATAAAATTCTTATAAATACCAGCTACCAGCTATGTCTATTTAATGGAAAGCTACCAGTTATGTCTATTTAAAAGTACCTTATTATAAAGATTGGTCAATTCATAAAATATTACTAATATTAGCTAATTAACTATTTGTAGCAAAAAAAAAGGTTAAATTTTTGATTGAGTGTTATTAGAATAGATTTGGTACATCTTAAAAAGTTTGAATCTCAGTTTTGGGATGATTTGGTGGAATTTTGAGGTGGTTTGAATTGAAAATTCAAAGTAGAGGATGAACATGGAAAAAAATGATATGTGTATTACACTGTGTATCATTTGTGTATCACATATGTATCATATTTGTATCAAATGTATATCACATATACATGTGCGTGAGATACATACGTGATATATGTTTGATACATGTGCCGTAGAAGAATTTTTTCAACTCGATTTTAACTACGAAGTTTGATACCAAATCAGTCCAAATTACCTCAAATCTTCCTCAAAATTTGTATATTGACTCATCTATATGTTTCAATAAATTTCAATCATACTTATTGAAAAAGGTCCCTTTTTGCTTAGATTTTTGGAATCATATATATATATATATATTTCATCACCTTGTTTGTTACCGTATTCATGAAATTTTCTTTCCGTCTT